AGCCTGGGTGCTGGTTGGCTGCCACAGCTTCTGTTGTGTGTCATGGTGTGGACCTGATATGTTTTCACCAGGTTCCTGTGTCTGCTGGGAGCTCTCCTCGGGAGCAAGCCTGAAGTTCTGTCCAAATGCTGGTGAATTTTGGGAGGGAGAGAAAGGGGTGGAGAGTCTGTGGTGCCCTTGCAGGACTTATGGGTGCTTGTTTTGCCACCCCTCTTTAAGTGATATTGTTGGTTTAAGTGTGGTTCCTCTCTAATCGCTCTGGTGTCAGCTGTGTCAGTGCTTAGTTTCGGTTCGGGAGCTCCGGGTAGCAGTTTGCCAGGAGGTGGCAGTGAATTGCCTGTTTGCTCAGTGTGACCAGCAGACAGAATGGCAGTGCCAGGGTGCCCCTGCCAGGTCAAGTGAGTGTCCTGAGGCCTTCAGTGACCCTTGACAGGCTTGGAGTGTGCCAGTGTCAAAGAGTAAATTGCCCACACACCACTGAGAAAATAAGAATTACAATTGTGTGCTGATTTCTTAAGAGTCCTAAGTTTAGTTGTGCATTCATTAAAAGCACCAGCAAGGCATTGAAAATAAAAGACTGTAAATAAAAATCGTTGAGTGTGACATGGGTCAAATATGACATGGGTACATATGACCACAAATTGTGAGGGTCATATGTACATACATTCATCAGATATTAAATAGAGAGTAATATGGGAATCCAGTGATCAATGGTGTTATAATGAATGTGCTTTCAGCTGTGAGTGGCTGTAAAACATCTCTGCTTCTCTCCAGCAGAGGCATCCTGAAAAGTCCCAGCTCTTCTGAGGCACTCTGGGCCTTTGCTTCAGTCTGTTGCCGCTCATAATGTGTGCAAGGCCACTGCAGAGACTGCACAACAGGACCCATGTTGCAGTGGAGTCCTGCATTGCTGCTCTTTGGGGGATCAGAGATCTCAAGTAACCTGCTTTCCTCCCTGGAGCAGCCCCACAGTAAGGTGTATTTCAGAAGAATGCGAATAACCAATATTTTTGAGATAAATGATAGAGCATGTGAAGACTGTGGCATAATGTGTACTGCTTGTTAAACAGTGGCAAATCCACACACAAAAGGTCTTGGTGACCAGATAGCTCCTAATGTCTTTTGGCTAAAGCTCATCTTGGGGACTGATTGCAAGACAAATCTGTGGAAAACTGTTGGTTAGTGTTTTGAGTTAAGGGCTCACAAAGTCAGGGGTCCTTCAGAGTTGCAAGGTGGACTTGCCAAGGACCTCACTGACCTTGCCCATGCCAATTCTGGCTTACAAAGGTTTGGACTGCCTCACACATGGGGCATCATGCAGCTTATGCTTTGACTTATTTTTCAACCCATGTATTTTTTTCTCAGCAAAACAGAAAATTTGGCCTTTTGATATAGAATCCTTCAGTTTTCAGTCTTACCTGATGCTTTGACTGAACCTTCAATGGATTTATATGAATCCACTGACTCCCACAGCTTTAAAGGGCATAGAAATGTTTATGGTTTGAAAATGGATTGTAAGGAATAATACTTATGGGAGATCTTTAGGTTTTCCTCTTGTGTGGTTGGTTGGTTTGCTTGTTTTTATTTTTTCCTCCTGCATAGGTTAGGGACAAGGATTTCATCTCAATTTTTTCCAGAGTGTGAAATGAAAATGTGTCCAGTCTCTCAGTTAAGAACTGGCAGGGAAGCAGGAAACTGCCTGGATTAATTTAAGGGTAGAAGTAGTTACTACATTTACCTCCTTTAACTGCAGTTTAAAAGTTTGAACTTTATTACCAGCCTGTTTTGAAAGCACCTCTGATAGATTCTTCTTAAGTGGAAATACCCCAGTTCACAAGGAAGAAGGTGTATGGGCTGGTTGATTGCAACACTGAAGTATTCCTAATCTACAATAAATCTCTGCTTAAGATAATAGATCAGATCCTAGAAGAAGAATATTCTGTTTATTTTGTAGCAACTTAATTCTGGCCAAGTCAAATTACTTGAGGAACACTTCTTTCTCTTCTGTTATATTTATAGGAAATGGTGCAGACCATGAGGTCAGGCTTCATTATGATTTTATTATTTTATTGATTGACTCATGAATGTGGCTAAAATGGTACAAGTATATGTTACTGTCAGTAAAATTCAGTGGGCTTCTTTCAGTAAGAAAAACAGTCATAATAAATTATGATAGTGAATGATAACTAAGCAATTGGACTGTGTTAGTTACATTTTATAGACCTCATGATAACTAAGCAATTGGACTGTGTTAGTTACATTTTATAGACCTCTAAGAATATTTTGTGAACATTAGAACTTGACATTCTTCTATTTATATCAATCTACAGGCCATTAGTGTACACTGCAGACCTTGCCTTGATTTCAGTTTATTTATTGATGAACCTGTACAGCTCAAAATCACTTTCTAGGTCAACTCAGTTAAAACTAGTAATAAACTATAAGTAGAAAAGCTTTTACTGTATTGTGCATATTATGTCACTTTTTTCCTGTTGGTGATATCCACTTTTGCAATTATTGAGGACAACACTAATACAAAAATTGCAAAACAGTTGCACTGGGAAGATGAAAATGGCTCATTTTCCTCTGCTTGTCTCCCCTGGACACGCATAAATTCCTGAACATGGCAAGTAGCAGTTTGCTTCCCCTTGGTTTATATCAAAGGTTGTCTCCCTTAGGTTGGCCCAGCAAGTTCTCTGCTTCCCTGCTCTCTTGCTGTGCCCCCCGAGTCCCTCAGATCCTTCATCTGTCTCCATGGCTGTGGTGTTTGACAGGGCACGTTGGCTTGGGTAAGCTTCTAGTTTCTCTGCCTGTTTTTGTGGCAGAAGAGGGGTTTAACTGCACATTCTGCTAATCTAATGGTGTTTGGCACACTTCTGGGTTTTAAATTGTTCTTTCAATATCCATGGATTAAAAGTGGGGCTATCAGCAGCTAACATTAAACTGTTAACACCTGTTGTCCAGCATAATAATAAATACATTTCATTTCAAAGAACAAACACCTCTTTTCTTTGCAAGGTCAACGTTTACATGTGTGTTTTAGTCTTTTTCCCAGCACACTGCCAGTGCTGCACCTGCAAAGGACAGATTTTCATCCCCTGAATGTCTTGCTACCCCTTTACCTGAACTGTATGAAAAGCTTTATCCTAAAATCCTAGGTTTGGCTTGGAAGAAACCTTCCAAGTTCTAATTCCAGCACCCCCTGTCATGGTCAGGGACACTTTTCACTAGACCAGGTTGCTCAGACCTCCATCCAGCCTGACTTGGCCACTTTCAGGGCTGGGGCACCCACAGCTTCTCTGGGCAACCTGTGCCAGGGCCTCAGCACCCTCACAGTGAGGAATTTCTTCCTATTAGCCAATCTCAACCTGCCCTCTTTCAGCTAAAGGCCATTACCCCTTGTGCCATCACTGCAGATATGTAGAGAAAAACAAGGCAGAGAGGACAAAAATCTTGTCATGTTACAGACCTCATAAATAGATTTCACACTAGTTGTTCTACTATAATAACTTAGTCAAGCAGTAGTACATGTACATGCTTGACATTCGAAAGTACACAGGTACTTCTTTCCCCTCTTTTCCTTACTGGACATGTTTGTGGCTGTAACTTTTAAAACTGGCATGACTCATCTAGTTAAAGAAAGAACAGGGCAGAGGAACTTGATAATGAGTTTCATTTAGAGCAATTTTTACTTTCTTAATCCCTTCAGTTATTTGGGAACTGCTTGGTAATGGTGTGGAAAGAGGATCTGGGAAGGCAGGGCAGGTAGTTTTGTCTGATTTTGCTCACATGTCAAAAATCTATCAGGAAAAAGAACTGTATCATGATTTAAAAGGCTGAGGCTATTGTCTAGCTTGATTTAGTAGTTAGAAGTCACATAGATTTCAAGCAAGTGACATCAGACTAGGCTGAAAGCTGACTTCAGCCTGTTCTCAGGCTTGTTGAGTAACATCCAGTGTCTGCTACTGATTATTTAAGTTCCAGATGGATGAATTTCTGCAAAGAATGCTTTAGTAAGCACTGCAAGTAAAACATTATATAGCCCTTTACTGTTTTAATGATATTAGTCTTCTAAGGAGACACTGTTTGCTTATTCCAGGTATTTGTTTCTGTTCCATAGTTCAATGTTGAACATAATTGTTGTTCCTGCTGAGAGAACAAAAGGTGCTTGACAGGAACTGACCCTGGCCATGGTCAGTGGAGGAGGCCTTGCTGTTTTCAGAGCCAGGAAATGCTTGACAGGGTTTGTGACAGCCATGTGTAGCTGCCCTTTAGGATGAACCAGTGAAGCCAGTACCTGAAATAACCTCTGAAGAGGAGGACAGGAACCTGCTGGAGTGAGTCCAGAGCAGGTACACAAGGGTGGTCACAGGGCTGGAGCTTTGAACACAGGCTGAGAGAACTGGGGCTGTTCAGCCTGGAGAGGAGAAGGCTCTGGGGTCACCTCCCAGCACCTGAAGGGACTTACAGGGAATGTGGAGAAGGACTTTTCCCAAGGGCGTGGAGTTACAAGGTGTAACAGTTTCAAACAGAGTAGGTCAAGATTAGGTACTGGGAGAGATTCCTTACTGTGAGAGTGGTGAGGTGCTGAACAGGTTGCCCAGAGAGGTTATGGACACCTGGTGCTTGATTTGGATGTGAGCGTGCAGGGACCCAGGACTCGTTGTCCCCAGTTGTGCAGCCTTCGTGCTATCAGCTCAGATTGCACCAGATAAATGCAGAAGAGGAAGTGTCAAAGCACAGGGGCAGCGCTTTGGCTCTGAAAGCAGGATTGTTCTTTCAGAAGAGGAAAGGTCAGTTTAAAGAGGTGAGGTCAGGCAACTTCCTTTCTTTGGTGGGGCCTGAGCCAAAGCAAGACCCTGCCCTTCTCAGTGATACACACAAGGCAGATACAGAGCAAGTTTTCCCTGGCAAAAACCAGAAACCCCATCCTCACGCAAGCTTGATTTAACACAAAGCAGCATCTGAGTAAAACATAAAAAATCCCAAATTTCAAACAATCAAAGGCAAAATTTTAAAAAAAATTTATTCCCTCAATATATATATACAAGAATTGACATACTTCTGTACAAAGGTGTAAATGGTCTTTGCTGTGATTTGTTGTGCATATGCAGCTTAGTAGACAGATTTAACATTCAATTTGAATCTCAGTGCAAGTAGGCACTAAAACATCCACCATACCTTCAAGGTATAAAGAAACATACCAATTGTACAGGTTTCTCCAGCATATTTTGTTACAGTGCAAAATGCTATGAAACAATGCTTCTTTAGAAAATTCATATATATTAAACACATATTGCACTTGTCCCAACCAAAAGTGTAACACATTGTACTTACTGAACTAGTTTGATATGTTTGAAAACATTGCTCACACACATACAGTCCTTCCTCTTGGCTCTTTGTGCCAAATATGTGTAGCTTTTAGCTCAAATCTTAAATAACTCATTGTAGCTCTTTGGCTAATTCAATTCTTCTTGAACAGACTGGTAAAAAAAATTACAGCAGATTAATGTAACAAGAAAATTCTCTAAGACCCTTTTCAGACTTCTTTCCACTAGCACTGTAACTTAATACATAAAAATCAGTATTGTTCAAATTCATAATGCAAGTGTATTGAACAGTGGGCATTTCAGACACTTACACCCCTGTTTTCTGAAAAGGTATGAAACCTCCAATCCTAGATATTTTACTTATTTCTAAGATACTTCAGGCTGCTAAGCTAACATTGCACCCACAAACATTTTGTGCAATACCACAGGCAGGACTTTGACTTCTGTACATCACTGGCTGCTATGGGGCATGTTGGGAGAAGTGGTGCAAAGTTGCATTAACTTCAGAGAACAAAGTCCACCAGACTGAACCACTCAATGCAGTCTGTGCACCCACCAAATGAGAGAGAGGTGAGGGCAAACAACACCAGTCCTACTACATTTGAGTTTCCCTAAATCCTTACAAGCCTTGAGATTTGAGGAACAAGTGCATTTGAGTGCAGATGCTAACTTTGTGCTTAAGATATTTATTCAAAGCTGAAAGGTCAGGGAGTAACTTAGGTACAAATTTTTCCGTTTGTTTGTTTTTTACAAATCAGTATGAACAAAGTTGCTACTAAAACCATTGACATATAAAAGCAAAGGAAAACTAAAACACAGGACTAGCTGAATGCTAGTCCATGCCTTTACAGTTCAGGGTTACCTGCAAAATGCCTCCACCACCAAACTTCTTCCCCTTCTTCACCTTAGAGGAGTACACTGGCTCCTGTCACATACAAAATGAGTATTTCTTTCATGAAAACATTTCTGCATTCAACTCAACTCGGTCATTCAGAACCTGAGTGAAAGAAAACTCTATTTCTGGTGCTAGAACACTCCCCAGAGCCTCTTCTGGAGCCACAACAGCAACTTACTGAGGGCAGGTCCCCCTCTTACTTGAATACTACTAGTTGTGCAGTCCTGAATAAGGCAAGATGCTGCTTATACAAGTAGTGAGATGAAATCCCAATTTGATACATTTAGGAATTATTTATACAGGTAGCATAACTCTACACTACCTGTGTGGGCCAAGTGTTCATGTTTCACAAAACCCAACCAGCTGGGCTTTGGATGGGGAGAACAAGGAGAGAAGGTTCACAGACTGGAAGGCTGAGGGATCACCGGAGCCGGCTCGCATTCGGGAAGGTTGTCCTCTGACTTCATGTACATCAGGAACACAGTGACAGTGGCAAAGGTGGCTGCATTGACGGGAAAAGCACGGAGCAGCGTGGAGGTGAGGCCCCTGGTGAACACCCTCCAGCCCTCCTCGTGGTAGCTCTTGCGGATGCAGTCCAGGATGCCGCTGTACTGCGTGACGCCCCCGACGCCGTCGGCCTGCAGCCGCGACTTGATCACGTCCATGGGGTACGTGGAGAGCCAGGACACAATTCCTGACATCCCCCCGGAAAACAGCAGCTTGGGGATAACATAGCTGTCCTCAGCCTCACAGCCCAGGTACCGAGTCATGCAGTCATAGGTGAGGAAGTAAAAGCCAAAGCTTGGAGTTTCTCGGATGAAGGTAGAGACCATGCCCCTGTTGATGCCCCTCAGCCCTTCCTTCTGGTAGATTTTGATCAAACAGTCCAGAGAATTTTTGTAGTTCTTCGTTTTCAGTTTGTATTCTCCCGTTCCTTGAAGCTGCATCCTTGTCTTGGCCAGCTCCATGGGGCAGCAGATGACACACTGGATGGCCCCTGCTGCTGAGCCTGCAATGAACTGGTTCAGAGGAGTGTCTTTGCCCAGAGCACGGAGGGTGTTTCCTTGCACACCGAACACCAGAGCGTTAATGAATGTCAGTCCCATCATTGGTGACCCAATACCTTTATAGAGTCCAAAAGCCTAATGGAAGAAGGGAGGAAAAACCCTTTTTAGCAGTGTGTGGATAACTCCTCAAAGTGCAGAACACAGCCTTTTTGGCTCTCCCTTGTACCCCATCACAAACACCTTGTTTAGTAATAAGAATTTCATCTCTGTCTAGAACACAAACATCTCAGCAATCTAGCAGTACAAAAATATAACTGAACGCATTCAGAAAATAATCTTACTCCACCCAAAGATCAGTTCTCTGGCAAATTTTATACTTTTTTAAATAGCTTACTTAAAGCCTGAAGGCAACTTTTTAACAATGGTCCTAAAGTTTCAGCAGCAGCAAAAACACCTTGCCAATTTCTTCACTCACTGCTTAGATTCTCAGAAAACTAGTTATTTAAATAACTTCTTATTTTATTAAAGAAGTTAGCCTCAAAAGACCATCTTCTGACTTAGTGATCTTCTTCCCAAAGTTTGTGGCAAACTTCTGACTCCAATATCTGCCCTAGGGTGAGGGGAGGTTCAGAACATGCTTTATCTCTTGATCTTCAACATTTGTCAGCTTTGTTTTTAACAGCTTTCCCACCCTCCTGAGCCAAAATACACAAAGATTAAAAAAATACACAAAGCAATAATTTTGTACTTACAGATTCTTGCTTTATGATGGACTGAAAGCAATGGAAAGTCCCACGGTAGAGAGGTTTCTCTACATTTTGAACTTGCAGACGGACCTATAAAAAGTTGTGTGAGACACCAATTTGTACATCAGGAACAGCCTAAAGGGTGAGCTACTGTCTGGTACCTATGTGGAGATTTTCTCTAGCAATGCATATGCAAGAGCACAGGCTGGACACTGGAATGCCACAAGTGGCACAATAATTTGAATAATCTTGTGTAAGTGTTTTGAATTAAGTTAGGGGAAAACATGAGGGGAAGAGGATCATTAACTTCTTGTAACTATTAGCAAACAATAATGGAAGGGTACACTGACATCTAGAATTTCAAACAGATGGTTTCCAGTACAGACTACAACAGGGACTTTCTTTAGCTGCCAAGATTACTTCTGCTCACACTAAGGAATACCTGTGCAAACCTGAGACAATTTAATTAAAAAATTATTTGCAAGTCAAGCATGAGATTAGGATCATTTCAAAGGGATGGAAACTTTCTACAATACCCATAGTGTTTCTAAATGTCTGATTTGGGCCCATTCATTGAGATCTAATTTTTTTTTTTTTCCAGAGGGTAGCTGGGCAGTGACTCTTAGGATGTCTGTCTTTGCAGAAGGGAAGGAGTAAAAAGCCATTTGTCCTTTTAAATTTCAGTCTGGTTTAGCTTTTTAGCCTGCTGAACGCAAGCAATTGGTGAGGGTATAGCTATTTCAAACCTTTAATGTCAGCAATCAATTAACTTTTCCAAAACAGCTGGAGAGACAAATGCTATTGTAGCTGCTGCTCTTAGGAGATCCCTTTTCTGGATGCTTTTTAACCTATAATGGAAAAGTTCACTTCTGTTTTTTTCATGCTTATTTGCCCTCAGCACACTTTAAAAGAGTCTCAGTTCTACCTAGCTCAGATAAAGCTCTACACTCAGAAATGAAATCAGTTGATTTCACTGGATTGATAAAGTTATAAATCTTTGATCTCCTACATGGAGGGATGCAATGAACTTCAGAAAAGAAGCTTATCAGCCCTGTAATGCTGCTGCTGCAACTCCAGGGCAAAAAACTTCAGTCTCTTACTCTGAGCAAAAGAAAAATATTTGCATCTATGTGAAAGATTAATGAACTTTTTTTCATGGTTGCCTAAAGTAATAAAAAACACCACCACAGCAATGAAAGACTGTCATCTGTGCATCTAGAAAATGATTTATGGAGGTGGTTCGTCAGAATCCTATATTCAGGTTAGCTTTCTTCAAAGCAGAAAAAGAAATTGACAGTTTTAGTGTTTTTCCTAAAACATGTTATTTTATGCTTTGTAAATCAGAACTTTAGTTTTCAGTGTTGTTTCAGTATGTGCATTAGTGTGTGCTAGCCATAGTGGGAGGCTGAGATCACCTTGGGTCTTGCAACATCTCAGCATTAAAAGCAGGATTACAGTAGGATTCAAAGAAAATAAATCCTTTGTCACTGCAAGTGACTTTGGGGGTAGGCAGACTGTCAAAACTGTTAAAGAAGCAGGTCCACAGGCAAAGGCAGATCTTAACAAGCTGTCACAACTGCACAAACAAAGGTTTTACTCCATTTAGAATTTACTGTCATTGTTTCAAACCTTGTCTGTGACTTCCGCACGTAAGGGCTTTTGAGATTTGCAGCTTAGAAACCTTCTCACTTTATCTTTTCTGCTTGTGCTTAATAGTTTAGAATTAGCCATATCTATGGGCTGAATTTCCTAGTGGCATACAGCTCCCTCTATTTTTGTCTAAATAATTTGTGAAATATTAACCAAATAAGCTTTGCTGTAGGGTAGAATATTTAGAGTGCTGATTCCCCAGGTCTAAGAATGAAAATCCTCTTTCTCTTGAGCACAGTGCTGGTCATACAAGGGTACCCACATCAGCAAGCTGCCAGGTATGGCAATGAGTGCACATAAAACTTGCATTTCCATGTGTGTTAATGCCATATTCAACAAGCTCTTTAGTGTGTACAGCTATAGGAAAGATGAATCATGCAAAGTTTATCCACCTGTTCCCTTCATTGCCCAATAACCTAGCTTCCTTCTTCTGGGAAAACACTGTTCCTAAGGCTTGAGCTCCACTAAGAACACCCAGGAATTTCACATCACTGACGGACTTGCATGAAGGCACTCAAGACTAAATAAAGAAACCCAAAGCACTACATCCTCAAAACAGTCCAAGCATTCAATAATGTGGGAAATCAGTGACTTCAGAAGTATTTGAGCAATGAAAACATCATCCAAGATTATGTAGTGGATAAGACCTCAGCAGTAGAGTGCTTGAGATTTGGTTTGAGGCACTGTGTGTGGGAGTGTATACAGCCAGAAATGCATAGCAGAAAGAAGGTTCAGAATAAAACTACATTTTAAAAAAAAGGGATATTAAAACCCCACTCCCTCCATGCCATAGCTGTAGAAGAGGGACACATCAGTTTAAAATTAAAAAGGGAAAAAGCTTCATAAGTCTTTCAGTTCTTTACTTGAACTTATACATTTGGGAATAAATTAAGACTGAGAGAAACAGAAGTGTTCACCTGGGCTATACTTACTAGGTAACTCTCCCGTGATGAGGCTTATCTGTCATCTACAACAAAGTAACACTTTTGCTGTTAATGAAGACAGCCCCTAGCTCAGAAAGTAAAGGCAGTTAAAAGCAAAAAAGCAATTTTATACATTACATCAACAAACCAGGGATAAAGAGTTTGCCAGTTCTGAGATCTGCTCAGCTGCAGGTTTTGCAGGGTGACTTCACCAGCTTAATGTCTCCCTGTGTGTCCCACCATCCCCCTCCCAGCTCTGTGAAACACCAGCACCAGCCAAAAAAAACCAAAAGAGCTTAAATGCTAAGGCAGATGTAAAACTTTGGCTTATCTAAGCAGCTTTGTTCAGTTATATTAAAAATGCACAGTTTAAGGTGACTAGCAGCTAGCCCTTTAAACACTGCAGAACAATAAAAAGTTAAGAATTAACACATATATATACACAAGTTATGCAATGTCTTTTTTTTTTTTTCCTCAAAGGGTGGTTAGTTTTTCCACATACAGTGGTGGCTATGCCAGCTAATAATACAAACATTAGTATTTGTTTTAACAAAATAGAGATACACAAGTAAAATACCTTCTAAAGGATAGGAAAATATAATGTGTCACACTGGATTTCATAAAATATTTGAAAACAAATTATTTGCTCTATTGTGAAGTAAGATGCTTTTTTCCCAGGCTGATACATCTATTTTGCAATGATACATTTGCTGAAACCAGCATGGGGGCCCCAGTTTTTACAGTTACATGTTCAGCTTCATGCAATAGAAGCCGTTCCACTTTAAAAAATAATAAACAAATCAACTAATAAACCCACACATGGTTACCTTTAGTCTGAGCATAGAATTTCAGCTGTTTTACTGGATTCAATGAAATGATTGATCACCTTTAGTTAAGCATGTAAAACTTGGCAGGGTGGGAGAGAAAAAGACAGCTGGCCCTGTACCACCATAATAAAAATTGTGCAAGTCTGGATGATGCTATTCCTGAAAACACAGTCTAGAATTCAGCTGAATTATTTAACTGTCAAATGTGCCACATTCTGAGCAACAAAAAGACAGATTTTACTGCTTGAGCAGCTTGCAAGGAGGATCAGTATCCACCAAGTCAGGAATTCTGTATGGAATTAACCATGTGCTGGAATACAGAATGTGCTGGGGTCCTGGGTAACACTATCAGCCCTTTGCATATCTAAATTCAGCAAGGTACAGGTGTTCCAAATATAGAGCTACTACGTGGCACGCTGTCTGCTGCAGTCAAGTGACCTGATGGATTGCTTGAGCAGGGAATGCACTGATATCCCTTCCATTCTGCACTGCAAGGCTTTGATTAAGGCTGCCAAAAGATGACTCAAATTGTCATTCTGTTCTGGAAAATGGGCTTGGGCTTCTGAGAGCCCTGGCTGAGGGACCCTCCAAGGAGATCTCAAATTTTGTATTTATAATAGCTGAAGTATGTGTAACACACACAACTAACCATCAGAAAACCAATTTTTACTTGGAAAGTTATAAAAGTATATAATAATACTTGGAGGAAACAGCCCCCAGACAAGCTCCATACTGTGGATTTTTATTGATTTTCACCTAGTGCTACACATTAAGGAGTAATAGCAGAGCTTGAGGGGAAAACAAAAGACCAACCTTTCATCATACTAACAAAGTGGGTTTGAGTTACAAGTGCAGGGAGAGGCAGTTTCAGCAGTTAGTGTTGAACAGCTGCAGAGAAGCAAGCTTAGAGCAAAATTTACTTCAATGCAAAGTTGTATTTCCAAATATGACATTGCTACTGCACTGAACTTGCAGTTTTAGGCCAAGGTTTATGTTACTAAGTTTTCACTTCTGAAGAGCTGGAGATTGAAGAATCTAAACCAGTAACTGCAGAGGGCTGCTCCAAGCTTTCCCACACAGATTTATAATCCTACAATGTCTGGGGACTTTTTTTGCTCGGAGAAACGAAGTTTCCTACTTAAAAGAAAATACATTTCATAATGAACCCACCTTAACAGTGTCAAAGGGGTGTCCCACCAGCACACCAGCAGCACCTGAAATGAAATTAATGCCATGGTTGTTACTCTGAAGTTTCTTCCTGGCTCTGGAGCTACAGCAGGACCACCAGCCTGAGGTGTGAGTGCACAACACGGTTGGCAAACCAGTCAAACAGCATCCTACCAAGCCAGGAGATAAGAGATCTGCAATTCAGTCCTTCAGGCCAGCACCAGGTGCCTTTACGCTTCCCAGAAAGGCTCTGAGCCCCAGGCAGGGGTTGAGCTGTGCCCACAGACTGTGCCACACCATATGGAGCGTGCAGCCACAGCTCCTGGCCTCAGCTCAAGGCACGGAGTGGGCAGAAAATGCAGGTTTCCTCTAAAACACAATATCCCATGTGCATATTGCTCTGAGCAGGCACAGAAAACATGGGAACATCCCTGAAGGCAGCAGAGCATTAATGCTCTCTGCATTAATGGAATCTGGAATAGCCTTTCCAGCAGCACCTGCAGAGGGACCGCACACTACTGAAAACCTTGGCTTTATTCTAGCATCAAAGGACTTTTCAGAAGCCACACGCAGGCCTATTAGTTACACCGATCTGAACACAGGCATTGTGCGCACACAGGCTGGAGGAATGAATCCTCTGTGACCCAGCAATCCCTACAATGATCGCTGACACCAGCGAGAGCTGCAGGAGCATCTGCGCCCCTTCCCACATCCCTAGAGGAGGAGATCTGCCCTCCCTGCACAGGGAGCCCCTTCCCACATCCCTGAGGAGCAGAGCTGCCCTCCCTGCACAGGTGAAGATCCTTCCCACATCCCTGAGGAGCAGAGCTACAGTCCCTGCACAGGGAGCCCCTTCCCACATCCCTGAGGAGCAGAGCTGCAGTCCCTGCACAGGGAGCCCCTTCCCACATCCCTGAGGAGCAGAGCTGCCCACCCTGTCGGAAAAGCCCCTTCCCACATCCCTGAGGAGCAGAGCTGCCCACCCTGTCGGAGAAGCCCCTTCCCACATCCCTGAGGGAGCAGAGCTGCCCTCCCTGCACAGGGAAGCCCCTTCCCACATCCCTGAGGGAGCAGAGCTGCCCTCCCTGCACAGGGCCTGCCCCAGAACGGAGCAGCCCAGGTTGTTTAGGGCCAGCACGGCGGCAGCACGGCCCAAGATAGAAAAGCAGCAACGTGCACGGTGTTCGGCACGGAAAGGCCAGCGGGGCGGCTGACCCCGAGGGAACGCTGGCAAGGCAAGGAGCGCTAGGATGAAATCAGAGAGATGCCGAAAAAAGGAATTTAAAACATGTTTGCCTGGTTGGCAAGAAAAACAGCAAGCGCAAATACGCGAAAAGACGCGAGAATAAGACTCCTGCACACAATTTAACAACTGCTAAATATAGCAGGCAGCAGGCCGGGGGAGCGCAGGACGCGTGTCCGTGTTCGCCCCTCTCCATCTTAGCCCTGCCCGGGGTCGCTGTGCTCAGGTCGGGGTTCCGATGGCCCCGTTGCCCCTGTGCTCGCCCCACACCCCAAACCTCCATCCCCATCCCGGCACTGCGGCACTCGGGGGGCTCGGTGGCCCCGGGAGCCCCCGGGAGCTGCCCCGGCCCGGGCCCGGGCCCGGCCCCCGATGCGGCAGTTCGACCGCTCTCACCGCCCCGCACCATCCTCCGCTCCCAAAATAACCGCGCCTGGCCCTCCTTGCCGACCTGCCTGCCTGCCTTCCGCATTTCAAAAACATTTCTCTCTATCCCCTTCCCCGCCTCTTCTCTATTTCCTACCTTTTCATATTTCTCCCCTTACTTTCCTTTTTTTCCGCCTGTTTTTATTATTATTTTCCTCTCACCCCCTTCTCCCTCTTTCCTTTCCCCCTTTTCTCTCCCTTCCCCACCATTTTTAATGATTATTTGCTCCCCCTCAGACGCCGACACTCACCGCCGACGCATCCCGCCAGGAAATCCAGAGCCATGCCGGCAGCGTGGGCCCTGCGCTCCGGGCTCTGCCGCTGCGCCCCCCGCCCGGCCCGGCCCTTTCTAGCCTGGCGAGGCCCGGGCCGCGCCCCCGGGGGCGGGGGCCGAGGGACAACTCCCCCCGGGCCGCCCCCAGCACTGGCGGCCGCGCGGGGGCGGCTCCCGGCCGGCCGCGGGATGGAGAGGCCGGGAGTGCCGAGACTGCGCTTCCCTCGGCACCTCCGGCACGGCCCTCCCTCTCCCCGCCTTCAACCTGTCACTGCTCTCTCTGCAGCAGCTGCGCACTGAGCCAGGAGGAAAGGCTGAGAGAAATTTGGGCGGGTGGGGAGGGGGTGGTTGGAGGGGGAAGAGCATCCCTCTTGTGATGTATCAATGGCACCTCGGTTGTTTTGGGGAGGGTGTCCTGGGGGGGTCCTGCTTCCTGGGAGAGGCTTGTGGTTGGAAAGCCTGAGGAGCTGATAGCGTGAGGACTTTGGAGGGGATGTCCCCTTTTAACAGGGGTAAAGTGCCTGCCAGACCTGTTACAGGGAAAGGCTGGGGGAGTCAGGACTGTTCAGCCTGGAGAAGAGAAGGCTGCAGGGACACCTTCACAGAACTGGAAGGGACCACAGTGTTGGTTCTTGTCCAGCCTTCCTGCCTAAACAGGGTCACCCCAGAGCCCGAGGCACAGGATTGCATCCAGGTGGTTCTTGAATACATTCACTGAGGGAAAACTCCAGACCATTTCTGGGAAATCTATTCTGGTCTGCAGTCACTGCACAGCAAAGGAGTTCTTCATGTTCAGGTGGAACCTCCTGTGCATTGATTTCTGCCCAATGTCTCTTGCTCAGCACCACCAATAAGAACCTGGGTCCATCTTCCTGACACCCTCCCTTCAGATGCTCACAGACATTGACTGAGTCCCTTCTCAATGGTTTCTTCTCAAGGCTGAACAGGCCCAGCTCCATCAGCCTGAGCGATGTTCCTGTTCCTGAATCAACTCTGCTGCCCTTTGCTGACTCACTCCTGGAGCTCCTTGTCCCTGTTGTGCAGCCCAGAGCAGGATACAGCACTCCAGGGCTGAGTGAGGGGCAGGATCACCCCCCTCAATCTGCTGGCAATGCTGGGACATGTCAGAGGAGCTGTGGATGCCCCATCCCTGGAAGTGTCCAAGGCCAAATGGAATGGCACTTCAAACCTCCAGTTCTAGTGAGAGGTGTGTGTCCCTGCCCGTGGCAGAGGGGCTGGAACTGGGTGGGTTTGAGGTCCCTTCCAACCCAAACCATTCTATGGTTCCATTACCAGACTCTCCCCCAGAATATAATCCCAGAGAGGGGAGGAAGGGTTGCACCAGCAGATATGGGCCTTGTGCATTAAATGCTGCCCCCATGGCACAATGGGAAGTGTGGGAATGAGACCCTGTCTTTGGCGCTCACAGGCACGACCGAGTGGGCTTTGCAGAGCCCTGGATCTCAGTGTTGCACAGCACTGCTGCACTTCACCCTGCACAAGGGGCCTCTCCCTCCCCGCAGGCTTTTCTTGTTCTGCATTAATTCTGCTTTCTGCTAACATTGCCTGGCTTCAGGGTGCCCTGATGCCAGACTGCTTAAATGGGGAACTCAGGCTGTTGACAGTTTGAAAAGGGAGCCCTGTTTAAGCTGCTCGTTATTTCTGCAGGCAATGTCTGAGAAAGGGGAATACCAGTGGCCTAGAACAATAAGTGGCCTATTCCAGCTTTGCTTAGAGTAACAGGATCTTCTTCAGGGCCTGCACAGTCTAAATTAATTTTGGAGGGTAAATTCCAGAAGCAGAATGGTAAAGCAGATAGGTGGATTTTTATTCCTTTTTTTTTTCAATTGCTTTCCATGGTGTGGCAGGGATTTTTTTAAGTTTAAAAGCTCCATGAAAAATCAGTAAGATCTTTCAGTGGAATAACACATTAAAAATCAATCCAGCTTTTTCCTTCTGTGCAAAGAAAGCACACAAACAAATCAACAAAGACAAGGATGATTTCAAAGAGGACTGAAACTGCTAGTAGAAGGAAAAAAGAGAATCTATTCCACATTAAGCAGCTCTTGGACTATCATTGCAATTAATAAGAAGACAAGATGTAAATGCAAAACATTCAATGAATCCCTGACATTACCCATATCTTCCAATCCAATGCTGATTTAGGCTCCTTCTCATCTCTAAAACCCATCAAATTGACTCAAGCACCAAGGTGTCTCTAGGATGCTTTGAGTCCCCTCATTCACAAACCTGCCCTGCCTGGGGATGACCAGCTGGTACTAGAGAGCAGATAGATGGGCTGGTCCTGCCCCTGACTCAGCATCAGTGGCTTTGGGAGCTGCCCATCCTCCTCTGTCACCCACCTCCCAACAGGAGCCTTAGGCTTGACTGAACTCACATACCTGCAGACAGTGCTTGAGACCAGACAGAAATCCCTGACCAGTCGTTTTTCCTTAAGCATTGTATGCAAGTATAAGTGGAAGTGATTTTCTGTGATTTGTGTACCCTGGATCCATGGGGGAAGCTAAAAGCACGTGCAGACTTCTCTAGGTGAAAATCCAGATGTTATAGGTCTCTGTCTTGTCGCACAAGACTTGGAAGGATCAGCTTTACCTAAAAGGTTCCTGGCCAAACTGTTTTTAATCTGTTATTCAAATCCTCTGGTCTCCCAAGCAGCCTGCCTCAGAGGAATGACCTTCTCTACCAGAAGTGGTTTTGTAATTCTAATGTTTGCTCACAGTCGTCAGGGAAAACATTTCCTCTCTCTTTGTAGGCAGTTCTAGGTTATCTGAAGATGGTTTCAGTCTTAGTCTTTTCTTCTCTGAATTATATTAGTAATCATCTTCTGATCTCTGATTCTTCTTAGTCCCTCTTTCTTCAGCTGATGTGATGGTTCCTTGAACCAAGCCCTAAGGCCTTGCTGAGTGAGTTGTGGGAGATTACCCTGAGTATTTACAGACAACACTCTTGTTCCTGTATCTGATAAAGAGATCAGATATTCACAAGAGACATAACATGAAACATAACAAAACATGACATAACATAACATATAATATATAACATATAACACAATATGATATTGTTCACTTATGGGCAGCCTGTGACACATGATGTGCTCCAGGTCCCTTCTGGTAAATCAGCTGTGTGCAACAATGTTCCCTACCTTGACCTTGCAGGTTTTTTCTGTAGTAATTCCTAGCTGTTCATGCTAAATTGCTTTTTCCAGATTGCATTTCCAGTTTGTCAAGATCACTTGAATTCTAATCCTGCTGGTGGTGTTTGTGCAGCCCCTCCCAGGTTGCTGCAATCTCCCAAGGCCTGTCTTGTTCCTGGATGCTTGAGCTGTTCCTAATAAGCTTTATTTCATTTTACAGAATGTTTTATTCAATGCTATTGAACCCCATTGGAGCACTTCAGAGGGGTGGTGGCAGCTTTATGTACTGGTGCAGAGAACATCAAGGGCTCTTTGGTACAAAGTCTGAGATGTCCAGGGCTGGTTCACTAAGGCATGAGCATGGCTTTGTCCCACTGGGGAGTTTGTCCTTTGTTCTTTTTTTCTTGCTTGGGGTTTTGTTTTGTTTTCAGTTCAAGTTACACTTGTGAGGCAGCACTGTGTGAATGTGGATGAGTTTATTGATCTTGTGTGTGGGTGGGACAGTGAGTCACTAGAGATGCTTGTATTTGTGTGATAAACGAAGGAAGTATTAGGGCTCTTATATCTGTGCAGTATTTATTAGATCAAGTATTTGAATATTCATCCAGGACCATATATGTGTGGGGGGCATATGGTTTTGGGGAGGACACCTAACCTGACACAGAAGGAAAACAGATTTAGTCATTATCTTCTCTCAGGCTGTTTTCCTAGATTTTTCAGAAGCTGTATCTGATCTTGTGTCTGCTTTGTTGATGTGCAGTGCCTCTGGCTCAGTGTGACTCAGATGCCTATTGGGACACTTGTGCCCTCCAGGCTCCATGGACTGGCTCAGCTGTGACTCCTTCCTTCTCATTCTGCTGAGGCTCCTCCAAACACAACTTGCAACTGCTGGGATGCATCCCCTGCAGGGCTGGAGTGAGGGGTTGTGCTTTTCCTGCTCTCTTCTTCTTTGGGAGCACTGAGCCTCCTCACTGCATGGCAAAATGTGGGCCCTCAAATAAAGCAGGCAGAAAGGCAGAAAAGAAAGAGCCCAGAGCAGCTTGGGGAGCATACAGAATCTGCCAGCATGTACAGCATGTGTCTGAGAGAAAAGTTATAACTTAATCTAACCCTTCAAAAAAACTCCTACCTTTGTCCCTCTGTCTTTTAGGTGGAAGAGGCCTTGCAGAGGATGCTGGAGGGGTGAGATGGCAGAGAGAATTTCTCCTCATTCCTGTGGCAAGGAGTGACCCTGTTGGCTGTTTGCTGTCCTCAGTGGCACAGAGGGGAAATCTGTGAGAAGGTGCCACCAAACTGAAACCTGCTCAAGGGCATCAGGAGACTGGGGAATGGAACAGGAAAAAGGCAGAGAGCAAGCAGTGTGACAGAATAAACACTGCAGGTAAGGGTAACATGAAGCAGTGGGGCACAATGAAGTAGGAAAGGAACAAAAATGTGGAGTTGTGATGAACTCGTGGAAATTCTGGTAGTAGTGGCATGCAGTAAAATATACATTGTTGACTCAGGTGTTTCAAAATCTTTCTGTTTGCTTGTGAATTTGGCATCAACAATTGGCCATATCCCAGTAGAAAGGTCTCACTACAATGAGGAGGGTGGTGGATGAGGGAGCCTCCTCTTTGCTCCCTAGAGCTTTGCTGAGGCTTGGCCAGCTCTGGGACTACCTTAATGGGAATTCTCTTTCATGCAGCCTTCTGCCCTCAGACCCTTCCTTAACTTCTAAGGTTAACTGCTGCATCATCACAGCTTCAGCAGTCATTGTGTTACCCAGAAAAATGCAGTTTCTATTTTGAGCTGTGACTGGATTTTGAACTTCTCCCTAGCACCTTTTTTGGCTCCCTGAATCACTCTTCAAAGTCTCTTTGGGACAGCAGCTCTGTGCCCCATGACATGTAAGTGTGGATGGCATTCAGACCCTGTGCAATGTGAACATTGCATTTACAGCAGCAAACTGCTTTGAAGGA